CCCAAACCCAAAGATAAAGTAAATAAATTTATGTATTTTATATGGATAAAGGTGTTTCTTAATTTCATAAATTAAGATATTCTCACATAGATTTAAACCAAATAATTTTTTATTCAAAAAAATAATAATAATAAATTGATAGATTTTTGAACAATTAAAATCATATAGAATGACTCTTTAATCACAACATTAAATTAATTTTAAAATAAATAAGGAAATTGTAATTATGGAAAAAAGAATTATGAGAAAAAATGATAATTTTACATTTTAAAATATAATTGAGAAACAGAGAAATAGAAATAGATATTGATGAAATTATACATTTCGAAAAAATTTTCTAAGCTTTTTCCATTCCTCAAGTCTTTCTAATAATTAGGATTATCAATATATAAATCCAATTATTTCCTCTTATAATAAAGATGAAAATATCATATCATATCAATTTTTTTGTTAAAAACTTTAAATTTAATATTTTATGGTTAAGGTGAGTAGAAATTTTATTAACTGCCCAAAATTTCAAGAAAGAATAAATAAATTGGTTTTTCTTTTAAAAGTTGTATGTATTCCATTCTTTGATAACTATTTTTTGAATATTCACAATCATTAATTGATTTTGGTTAATGAAATTCTGTACCATATGCTCATGTACTCCAAAAATATAAGCATCTAAAATAGATAAATATTTTATAAATTATGATTAAATTTATCAATAGATAATTTTGAGATTTAATTTTGTTCTTTAGTATACTTTAGCGTTTATTAATCATAGAAAGATAAAAGACATTATTTCTATTGATATAAAATTATTTGATACCATGTAATTAAATTTTGTTGGAATAAAATAATATAATAATATTCATTCACTTCTTTTCATATAATAAAATTCTATATGGTCTCACATCTTCTGAGTTGTTAACAACAAAAATATTACATTTCATTCCTTCACTTTATCTAATTTTTTTTGGGTTTACCCTTGTCATAAAAATCACTGCTAATTGTTTACCACAAATCTCAATGTATGGAGCATAACTTAGACAAACATCAATCTTATCTGAGAAATAAATTCCATTTCCTACCTTCACATTATTTCCAAATTCATCTTTACAAATATTATCAGTATAATTCTATCCAGAACCAGGTTTTAAATTATTTTTTATTATTTCATTAACAAAATGCAATTTTGTACCATGATACATAATTCTCCATTCATTAGGATTACCATCCTTTTTTAGCCAATCCTAATTATCTCCATATTTTTTAACATTTAACCCAAACCCTTAACAACCTATTGGAAAATAATAATCATACGCACGACCAGGAGGTCCTCTTTATACTTTTTTAGGATAACCTTCCCAAAATTTATTGCATGAAGGATTAAAATCATCAGAAGTTAAATCTCCATTTACATTTGCTTAATCAAAATATTTTACATATTCTAATTTACCCTTACAATATTCATTTAAGAATTTCAATGCATTAGGATTGTTTTTAATCTGTTATAAAATCTCATTCATATTAATTCCAGTTATTTAAAAATTAATCCTAAATTGGTTTTTTTATTTTTACTATTGTACATTTGTTGTTTTCTCATACAATAAAACTCTATAAGGTCTAACGTCTTTTGATTCATTAATAAGAAAATAATTATTTTTCTTCATAAAATCTCCTGCTTGTCTAATTTTTTTTGGATTTACTCTTGACATAAAAATTACTGCAAATTATTTATTCCCTATCTAAGTGTATGAAGAATATCCATCATTTATACAGACATGAAAATCATTTGAGAAATAAATTCCAACTCCTAATTTCACTGTTTTTCCAAATTCATCTATACAATCGAAATCTTTGCAATAATTTGCCTATCCAGGTTATAAATTATTTTTTATTATTGAATTAACACAAAAATTTTTAGTACCATGATACATAATTCTCCATTCATTAGGATTACCGTCTTTTTTTAGCCAATCTTAATTATATCCATATTTTTTAACATTTAAGCCAAATCCATAACAACCTATTGGAAAATAATAATCATATTTATGATCAGGAGGCCCTCTTTATTCTTTTTCATGAAAACCATCCCAACTCATATTATATGAAGGATTAAAATCATCAGAAGATAAAGTCATTCCTAAATTAGATTTTGCTGAATTATATGCATCCCAACTTGCTTGATTAAAATATTGGACATATTCAACTTTTCCATTACAATATTCATTTAAAAATTGAGAAGCAGCTTTATTACTTTTAATCTCCTATTAAATGTCCTCTATATTTTTTCCTGTTATTTAAAAACTTATCTCAAAGCTTCCCTTAGATACTCCTAAAATTTCAATTTAATCAATTGGAACATTAAGTGAATTGGATAGTTTTTATGTAAATTCCAATAGATGTTGCTTTAATATTTATTTGTCATTTACAATTTGATCGAAATCAAGATTAGTGTTTCTAACTTTCAAACAAGTTTAATCTTAACCATATGCTCCAAGAATCGAATCAAATCCAAAAGAATATTCCTTACTTGTTAATAATAATTCTCTATTTTAATCTCTTAATAATTATTCTTTTAAAACATAAAGTATCAATTCAGGATTCGAAGCTTCAATTATTTATTTTATATGAGGAATTTATTTCCCTTAGTCTTAATCTTTTAATTTTGAAAATAATTGTTATTAATATTTATGTATATAGTATTATTTTTAATTATTTGTCAAATTATTATTATTCTTTAATTTTTGGATTTCCGAGTTTAAGATTGATATTTCTGATGAAATTGATAGTGCGCAAATTGATTAAGATATTGATGTTTATGATATTACAATTTATATATTGTCAAGAGTACTTTAACATTTATTTTTAGACTATGAAAATTATTATTCTTCTTTTTTAGATATTTTCTAATAGTATTATAAATGTTATTGTATAATCTCTCTATTTATTTTGCTCATATTTTACTACATAGAATTTTTTCTTATATTCTCTTTAAAATTACATTTTTATACCTAAAATAATTTGGCATCATTATTTTTGAAAAGTTTCTGATTATAATCATAATTAACGAAGTCACTCTTATTTGAAGAATCCTACATGATATTTTGAGGAATTTAAGAAGATAATAATTCTTCCATTTTAGAAATATTTAAGAGAGAAATTATATATTTAATAGATTTTTAAATGTACTTTAATAGAATTATATTGATGTAAATTTAGGCTTAATTGTTTATTGTTAATGGGGTTGGCCGGGAACAAAATTCTCCATTTTGAAGTGGGGTAGGGCTCGGGATGACTTGGGTTTGGGTTTGGGGTTGGGGTTGGGTTTGGTAAAGTCTACATATAATTATATAATATATTTATATTCCAAGTACGGTTGGGGCTCATCTAACTATGTCGAAAAAGTACGTAAGCTTTTTTTTCTTAGGG